TCATTTATATCTATATCTATATTTATATCGGTCAAATTCTTTAATAAAAATTAGTTATTAATGAAATGAATAAATAACTTATACTAATAATATAATTATAAAAAAATAATACGATGAAAATTAAGGTATGAAAGGTATTATGATATGATAAAGAAAAATACACGTAAGAGGGGAAAAAATAGATGTGACAGTGTTTAAAAAGACGGTGTATAAACTATATCCTTACCCTTTTACAACTTATTTGTCACAAAACTTGTCTAAATTAAATTCGAGCAAGGATATTCACTAACCCTCTTGGATGAAAACAAGAGAAAAATTAAAAAGAAAAAATATACAATAGACAATTGAATAAATAAAGAAAAATAAGAAATAGAGTTTACATACTTGGTTTTATAATTTTGTAAATTTTATTATCATTTCTATAGTTAAAATATTTTATTTCAATTTTATACTTTTAAATTTAGTTTTTATTTTATTTATTTATTATAAAAAAATAAATTTGTGAAATTATAAAATTATAGAACAAAATGAATATTTAAACAGAAAACAAAAATAGAACAGAAGTGAAATAAGAAAAAACCTTATAATAATGAATATTTTCCTTTAAGTCCATTCATTAAAAACACACGTACAGACAGCAGAATCAATTGCGATGACTCATTGACAAATAAAATCCAAATTTAGTAACACCGTTCACTATCTATAACATTATATAACATTATATAACATTATATAAAGGGTATACAAACATTTAGAACTATCATTTGATCTTCACTTTTACTATGACTTTTTTATTCTTAATAATATTACATATTAAATAATTAATATAAGTAATTATATCATTTTATTTAAGATATAAAGGGGATACAAACGTTTGTAACTATCATTTGGTCTCCACTTTTATTATGACTTTTTTATCCTTAATAATATTACATATTAAATAATTAATATAAGTAATTATGTCATTTTATTTAAGTAACTACCCACTTTTATTTTCCGCGGCGGATGCCGAGGGAGGTGAGGGCGGAGGCGAGCTGGAGGCATCGGCGGCGCGTGTGGGACCAGGTGAAGGTGGTTTGGTTGTAGATGACTGAAGGAGTGTCGCCGTAGACGGTTGCTGCTCTGTCCAGGAAACCGAGTGGGGTGAGAGGGA